CCGGTGGGGCGCGTGGGGCGGGGGTGCTTCCTGGCCAGGGGATCCCGGGGCGGCAGCGGGAGCGGAGCCGCTCAGCCCGATCCCTGGTTTTACCAGGACGCGACCCTTCTGAGCTCGGAACGGAAGGGAGAGACTGCACCCAACAAGCACCGAGCCCGACTGTTCTGACAGATCCGAACCATAGGTTCACGTCTCCTACCCAGAGAGCCTGCCTCTTTTGTAAATTAGCCAGCGGTTCGGCTTCCCAGTTCACTTACGCTTATGTATCCTTCATTGAACCAGTAGTCATATTCCGTCTCTCTCCACGACGTGTTTGGAATTAGATTCACACCTAGTGGAGTTCTTAAAAATCCTTTATATTTGCAGAACTTTATTAAGTAGACGGAATGTTTTCACCTGTATGGTGGAATCTTTCACCTAATTTCACATGAAGCTACCTAGCTAGTCTGGCTGTTGATCTCCTGTTGGCAGAGGAAACACAGGCTAAGCTCATTGTGGGAACTGAGTGGTCAGAACCTCCTGGTGAAGCTTTCACCGATCTTTTATCACTTAAATCATATATTTAGATAAAACAATTTAAGTGAAGTGACATGTTAATGTTTAATATATTTGATGTAATTTTTTTTTTCAGTACTGGGGATCGCAGCCATGGTCTTATAGTCTTATACATGCAAGGTGAGTTCTCTGCCACTGACCTTTATATTTTATTTTGAGGCAGGGTCTCACTAAGTTGGCCAGGCTGCTCTTTAACGTTCTTACTGCTTCATCATACCCTGTAGCTGGGATTACAGGTGTGCACCACCATGTCTGGCTCTGATGTGGTTTTTCATCCTGTCCCCCAAGGGTGTTTTTGTTACTTACCTGCTCTAAATTGAACAGTGAGTTCCCATCTTTAAGTGGCCTATTACCAGAGATGCCCAAGAAAGGCGCCGTAGTAGTCTTCCAAAGCCCTACAAGAACTCTTCCCACATGTTCTCTCACCTCACGATCTGCCCTCCCTCCATCTCCCATTGCTCTTCCTATCCTATTTTCTTTTCTTTTCTTTTCTTATACTGGGGAATCAAACTCAGGTCCTTGTGCTTGCTACGCAGGCAGCAGAACCACTGAGCCAGATCACCAGCCCCTCCTGTCCCTTTTTTTGTTTGTTTGTTTTGGTACCGGGGATCGAACTAGGGTCCTTGTGCTTGCAAGGCAGGCGGTGGAACCGCTGAGCTAAATCCATGGCCCATCCTACCCCTTTTTTATGTTCTTCCAACATCTACTTGCCTGATATACCTCAGGGCCTCAAGGGCCTTTGTGAGTGCTGTTCATTTGCCAGAAATTCTTTTCCCACAGACAGAACTCTCTTACTTCTTTTTGGCCTTTACTCAAATCCCATCTTTTTTGTTTTTGTGTTTTGAGACTGTGTCTCACACTATGTAATTCGGGCTGGCCTTGAGCTTATACCAATCTTCTTGCCTCAGCTTCCCAAGTGCTGAGATCACAGGTGTGTCATATCACACCTGGCTATAAATATAATCTCAATGAAACTTTCCCATCCGTGATTTTGATTCTATTTTGTTTGTTTGTTTTTTTGTTTTTTGAGCCAAGGTTTTGCTGTGTAGTCCAGGCCATCCTTGAACACACTATGGAGCCCAGACTAGCCTTGAACTCACAGTGATCCTCCTGCCTCAGCCTCCCCAGTGCTGGAATTACAGGATTGTACCACCATGCCCAGCTTTTTTTTTTTTTAAGACAGGAAAAAAAGCTGGCCTCCAGCTCATGTGCTTAAGCAGTTTTCCCCTCACACTCTCAGATAAGCTGTCTTACAGACGTGTCATGGTACCCAGCTCTTACAAATTTTTTTTTTGTACTTAATTCCAAATCTTTCCTGTCTTAATCTTTTTGTGCTGTTATAACAAAATACCTGAGAGTGGGTAATTTATAAAGAACAGAAATGAATATCCTGGGAAGTCCAAGATCAAGACACGAGCAGTGCTGGTGTCAGGTGAAAGCCTTTCTTTGCTCTCAAGATGGCACCTTGGTCTAAATTCTCCAAAGGGGATGAATACTTTGTCCTTACATAGCAGGAGGGATGGAAGGGACAAAAAAGACAACTCTCTCACGTCCTTTTGTAAGTTCTTGAGAGCCCATCCACAAGACCCTCATGGCTTACTAATAACCTAAATTTAGGCTCTGCCTCTTCGTACCGTTGCTCAGGGAATTAGGTTTCAACATGAATTTTTACCAACATTCAAACCGTAGCTTTTAAATGTCTTCGTACTTAATTATAAATCTCCCTAGAATTAAAAGATGTTTATCCACCAAAGGATACAGTTACCATTCCAGTTCTCTAGTTTATAATCCAGAGACTTTTGCTAAAGAAGCTAAGATTTCTTTTGGTGACCCTGGTGGGACACACTAAGTTCTAGATTAATATTAATGTTATGTATCTTTAAAGGGCTGGTCTTCCAGGGCACAACATTAAGTTATACTTTTTAGGGCTGGGGATTTAGCTCAATGGTTCCACCACCTGACTTGCAAGCACAAGGTCCTGAGTTCCATCCCCAGTTCCAAAAAAAAAAAAAGTTATACTTTTTAATCTAAATCTTCAGTCTAATCATAGAAATACATATGTTTTCCTCCTATTCCAAACCTTTAAACCTAATGGTTCCTAAAATGAGTAAATGTCTTTTTCAACCACCTTTTTAAAGATCATTGAGCTTAATGGGGATCTTTATATTCTTAGGACTATTATAGACATGTAACTCTTAAAGACATTTTAAATGTTTCCATTTGACACTTAATGTCTCATTTGAACTAGCTTAACTTGCTGTTTCAACTTACAAGCCCAGTCTATTGAAAGAAGAAAACCTAAAATGTGAGCGCCCGCCCCATACTGGGGATCAAACTCAGGACCTTGAGCTTGTGAGGCAGGGACCCTGCCACTGAGCTAAATCCCTGGCCACTAGAAAACCTACAATGTATTGGTTATTTCCATAACTTAATTACATACTCTGAAAATTAACTTTTTAAAAAATAAAATTTATTCCATTCCCCCAGCCCCCTCCCTTCCCTATGTATAAAAGCTTTGTTTCCATATTTTCCTTCTATTTTCACTTTTTTTCTTGCCCCTTCCTCCCTTTTTCCCTTTTTCCCTTGTTCCCCTTCCCATTTGAACACTTTCTTCCCAACATCCATTATACATTTCAGTCTTTACTTCCACTTTTGGTTTCTCACACCAGAGAAATAATGTGACATTTAAACATGTGTCTAATTTATTTCACTTAAGAGTATAGTCTCGAAGTCCATACATTAATCTAGAAATGTCTGAGTCCCATCCTTCTTTATGGCAGAGTAGTATTCCATTGTATAAAAATCCACATCTTTATTCACTCATTGAGAAAATTAACTTTCTTTTCTTTTTTCTTTTTCATTTGGTACTGGGATCTAACTCAGGTCATTGTATTTGCAAGGCAGGCACTGGAACCACTGAGCTAAATCCCCGGCCCGAAAATTAACTTTCTTTTCTTTTTTCTTTTTCATTTGGTACTGGGATCTAACTCAGGTCATTGTATTTTATTTGCAAGGCAGGCGCTGGAACCACTGAGCTAAATCCCCGGCCCGAAAATTAACTTTCTTGAGGCATTGAGTACATAGGTTATATTAAAATACTATAGATATAAATGTTATCAAGATGTAACTTACCCAGTGTATTGAATAATTCCTATTGAAAAAGTTCCTTTTTGCTCTTTCTGTCTTCACTGCCATTTTCTTAGTAAATTCTTCTCTATTTCTTTTTTCAACAGTTGCATTAGGCCATTAGTCTTCTGGTCATTGCTTCTGTTGTCTCGGGCTTCTTTTGGGTATGCAAGTTGGATCATGTATCAAGAATTCCTATATTTATTGAGCCTTAGCTGCATAACGTATTCATTGTACTAAACATTTTGCATATGTTATGGTGAGCAGAGGAGTTCAAGACATAGGCTTTGGGGTCATTCCGCCTGAATTCTATTCTCTGTTCACTTGCTCATGGTGGGTGATTTTTCTTTTAATTTCCCTGTGTCTCAGTTTCTTTACCTATTCAACAAAAAGCACAGCAGTATTAACTCTAAGGTTATGGTGAGGACTGGAGTAAAATAATAAGTGTAAAGTGCTTAGTACAGTGCCTAATTACCCAAATATTGGCCATTTGTTTTAATTGAGATATAACACATACCATAAGACTCACTTTTTTTTTTTTTTGGTACCGGGGATCAAACTCAGGACCTTGCACTTTTGGGGCAGGCATGGTGCCACTGAACTAAATCCCCAGCAAGATTCACTCTTAAGTGAACAGTTTAGAGTTTGTTGTATTCACAAAGTTGTGCAATCATCACCACTCTCTAATTCTAGAACATTTTCATCACTCTGTAAAGAAACCCCATGCCCAGTATCTGTCAGTCCCTAATCACATATCCTTAGTCCCTCATAACCATCAGTCTACTTTCTGTCTCTTTGGATGTGCCTCTTTTGGACATTTCATGGAAGTTAAATCAAATATATGGTCTTTTGTAACTATCTTCTTTCACTAGCATAAGTTGTTGTTTTGTTGTTGTTCTTTTTTTTTTTTTTGATGCCACAGATTAAACTCAGAACTTTGCAAGGCCGGCAGCAGCACCACTGAGCTATATCCATGGCTACCATAAGTTTTTTAAGGTTCATTCCTGTTACCTTTTTGTACCCCTCCATCCCCCCCTCCACCGCTGGGGAATAAAGCCAGGGCCTTCACACTGAGCTACATCTACATCCCTTTTTAAATTTTCATTTGGACACGGGGTCTCACTAAGTTGCCCAGACTGAGTCCTGCCTCAGCCTCCTAGGCTGAAATTACAGTTGTGTACCAGCACACCTCACTAGTACTTAATTCTCTTTATGGCTGAATAACATTGTTTTACAGATATATTACATTGTTATCTGTCCATTGTTTGTATCCTTTTACTATTAAAAATAATGTTACTATAATCATTCAGGTACAGTGTATGTGGACAAGTGTTTTCATTTCTCTTGAATATAGATCTAGCAGCGGGATTACAGGGCCATATGGTAACTCTATGTTTAATTATTTGAGGAACTGCCAGACTTCCACATCATTTTACATGTCCACTAGCAGTATATAAAAGTTCTGATTTCTCCATCTCCTGGCCAACATTTGTTATTTTCATGTTAAAAAAAAAAAAAGTATGGGCAACCCATTCAGGACCCCTCCTGTCTCTCAGGTGTTATGCCTCTTCCCCATTTCTATTCTCCAATAAATTTCCTCCTCTTAAAATTATTAGCCTGTAATCCCAGCACTCAGGAGGCTGAGGCAGGAGGATTGCTGCAAGTTCAAGGACAGCCTGCATTACAAAGCAAGGCCCTAGTGGGTATTGAGTGGTTATCTCTTAATTTTGATTTGTATTTCCCTAGTGACTGGTGAAGTTAAATCTCCTTTCTCTCTTGCTGCTTGACTTATTTAATCTAGGTATTACTGTATTCATCCTCTTAGATTTCCTTAGAGCCTCTTAACAGACAACATCCTCATTTTACAGATAGGAAACTGATACTTAAATAACTTGACTGTCATACAGCCAGTCATTGGTAGGCCTATAATCATGTCATCCCTAACATCCATAAAAAGTGCTCCCCCTGGAAAGAAAAAGTGGCCCCAGAACCTACAAAAGTGGAGGGGCTTCAAGATCTGGCTCCTGCATACCTTTTTGGTTTCATCTTCCACTATACTTCCATGTATCCTGTCAGTAACCAGAGCAAACTTTTTAAGCTTCCTGAAGAGGTCATGCTGTTTACTATGCTGTTTGTGTCTGCATGAGTTATTCTCTGTCTAGAACGCTCTTTGCCCTCTTTTTGAAGTATGAACTTCCATTCGTCCTTCCAGACCCAGGCTAAATGTGCCTGTTGGAAACCTTTCTGGATACTTCCAGACACAGCCATTTGCTTCCTTGTGCTTGCAGTTCCCTCCCATCGTGAATATATTCTTTATTGCATTATAACTGTTTAAAAGAACTTATCTTCCTGTCTCTCTTGATAGACCCTGAGCGGCTAGAGAGCACTGACTTTCTTTGTGCTGGGGACTGAGCTTCACTCATGCTGGGCAAAGCATTTTACTCCTGAGCTGTACACCCAGCCTGAGAGCACTGACCTTTGACGAGTCCATCATTGTATTCCCAGGGCCAGGAATACCCTGGCACAGAGTAGGTGTTCAGTAACTACCTCTCAAATAAATGCATCTCACCTTTCAGTTTGAATAGCTAACCCTTTCATAAAAATAAAATAAAGAACTTCATAAAAATAGGAGAACAAATTGTGCATAGCTGTATGAAATTCATAACAGCATAAAATCATTAAAAGATGAAATTATAGCTAAGTGTGGTTGGTGTATACCTGTAATCCCAGCACTCAGGAGACTGAGGCAAAAGGATCGTGAGTTCGTCCATACAGTTTATGTTTCATAGTGAGACCCTGACTCAAAAAAAAAAAGCAGGCAAAAGATGAAATTCCGTTTTTTTTTTTGTTTAGTACCAGGGATCAAACTCAGGCCCTTGTACTTGCGAGGTAGTCGGTGGAACCACTGAGCCAAATCCCCAGCGAATTTTTTTTTTTTTTTTTTTTTTTTTTTTTTTTTTTTTTTTTTTTTTTTTTGGAGACACGGTCTCACGATGTAGTTTAGGCTGGCCTTGAATTCACTGTGTAGCCCAAACTGCCCTTGAACTTCTGGCAGTTCTGCCTCAGCCTCCCAAATGCTGGGATTATAGACATGCGCCACTACACCCAGCTCTGAAACTGCTTTCTTGGAATTCTTTTTCCAACTCTCCAGAGAATCTCCACGTCTTTGAGTCAGTCCTGTGGCTTTGGAGGGTATGACAGACACTTTGTGTAAAAAACTTCAGTTCCCCCTTTCTCACTGGCACTGTTGTTGGACAAGGTACAACATGAAATCTGTGCACTTTCAGAAAATTTGGTGGAAGTTTTGTTTTTTAGTTTTTTTTTTTTCCCTTTGGTACCTGGAATCGAACTCAGAACCTCACGCTTGCCAGGCAGGCACTGTGGCACTGTGCCACTGAGCTAAATCCCTGGCCCTAGTGGAAGTTTCATTCCAAAGTCTGCAATTTATGATTCACCATCAGAATACACTTCGGCAAGCCAATCCAGGCAATAATTTTATCTAAGGCCTTCTTAATATATATTTTATATATATATTTTTTGGTGGTGGTACTGGGAATCAAACTCAGGACCTTGTGCTTTCAAGACAGGCACAGTGTCCCCGAGCTAAATCCCCAGCCCATATGTTATACTCTTAAGTGAAATAAATCAGACACACATGTTTAAATACCACATTGTTTCTCTGGTGTGAGAAACTGAAATTGGAAATAAGGACAAATGTATAATGGATGTTGAAAAATGGGAAGAAAGTGTTTAAATGGGAAGGGGAACAAGGGAGGAGGGAGGGTGAGAGGAAGGAAGGGAAAGAAAAGTGAAAATAGAAGGAAAAAATGGAAATAAAGCTTTTGTACTAGGAAAAGGGGGGGCAGAAAGGGGAATAGGAGTGTGTGTGTGTGTGTGTGTGTGTGTGTTAGAAAGGTACTCTGATTCCACATACTAAAACTTTAGAATTTTAGGTTGTAAATCTTATACAGATCTCATTTCCATGAACTCTCCTCTGTGTAAAATGTTCCTCATTTGAATAACAGCCACCCTAGTTCCCAGAGCATAATAAATGAGATAACATTTGAGATTGAAAAATGGCAACCATTGTGTCTAAAGAAAGCTTTTTGTGTTTATGTTTGTATAAGTTAGCATTCTGTTAAAGCTTCTTTTTGGGTATTCTGGTGTCGAGAATCGAACTCAGGATCTTGCACTTGCCAGTCAGGCGTAGTGCCTCTGAGCTATATCCCTGGCCCTAAGTTAGCATTCTGAAGGTCACAAAAATGTGTGGTCATACAGTTCTACATTGCATTTTCTTTCTTTCTTTTTAAGTACTGGAGATGGAACCCAAGGCTTTTGCATAGAGCAACTCCTCAGTCCTTTTTTATTCATTTTGAGAAAGAATCTTGTTGAGTTGCTCAGACTGGGCTCAAACTTGACAGTCCTTCTGTCTCAGCCTTCCAGAGTGATGGGATTATAGGCAAAAGTCACTATGCCTGGTTGGTGGGAATTTTTAATTTAACTGGTTAGCTTAATAAATATCAAATTTGGTTACAGTGCCTGCACTCTAGTGTATGTCTTTTATTTTTGTATTTTCTTCCCTTTTACTTAGCTCAAACTCTGCTGAGCCCATTTTTTCCTTACTCTTCTATTTTTTCTTTCTTTTTTTTTTTTTGGTGTGTGGTACTATATGGATTGAACTCGGGACTGTGCATGCTTGTGAGGCAGGCGGCGGCACCACTGAGCTAAATTCCCGGCCCTCCTATTTTTAATAAATGTGAAATTTTGTGGGTATTTTAGCTCAGTGGCAGTGTGCCTGCCTCCCAAGTGCAAGGTCCTGAGTTCGACCCCTGATACCAAAAATAGATAGAGAAATGTAAAACTTTGCCACCATTTAAAAACAAATATCAAATTCATTTTTCGACTGCTTATGGAAATAAAGCCTTAACATTCTGTATATTAAAAAACACATGACAGTCAATGAAAAATCCTAGTTGAACAGATTTTTTTCTTTGTAATGGAAAGGTTGGAATACAATAGAAACTGAAATTACTTTTTACAGTGACAGTAGTTACAACTGCAGATGTAAATTGTACACTGGTACAATCTGCTAAACTGCAGAAAGATCTAGGTGACTATAATTGTCTTTCTGGATCATATTTAGTAGGATTTTTTTCCATTTCTCTCTTAACTGTAGAGCTCTTAAGACACGGAATTTTTCAAGTTGAATATTTAAGGCTATGCTGCATGATTGTTTTGCAAATCACATTGATGCCACTTGATGGAAAAGGACAGTGGGATCTTTGTTGCTGTTTAGGTATTGTCTGCAGGCCTGCCTTTAAACAGTTTGTTGTCTTAATAAGTTTATTGTGAAAGTTAAAAATGTATGTTCCTTTTATTTGCCATAATATATTTTAATACTGAAAATCTCTTCTTGTAGACTTTAAACACCTTTTCTTCCCCCGGAGCTAGAAATCAAACTTGGGGCTTCGAGAATGCAAGGAATGTCTTGCAGACTTTAATGTTGAGGTTAAGGTCAGCTGTGGTGGCACATACCTACAATCCCAGTACTCTGGGAGGCTGAAGCAGGAAGGTCACAAGTTCACACCCAGCCTGCACAACTTGGCAACTTACTGACATCCTGTCTCACAATAAAAAGGAAAAAAAAAAGGGCTGAGGACGTTGCCTGGTGTGAAGACCCTGGGTTCAGTATGGTACCCCCCAAATTGAGGTATGTGTATGTATGTATAGAGACACACACACACACACACACACACATAATAAAAAATATAGATAGATAGATATATATTTCTTTAAAAAGAATTGTAGAAGGACATAGCCAGGCATGGTGGCACATGCCTGTAATCCCAGCACTCGGGATACTGAGGTAGGAGGATCGCTGTGAGTTCGAGATCAGCCTGGGCTACACAGTGAGTTCCAGGTCAGTCTCAACTACATAGTGAGACCCTGTCTCAAAAAAAAAGAATTTGAAGCCAAATGTTTGTTTTGTTTTGCAGTGCTAATGATACAGTTGAATAGATCAGAAATAGTCCAGGTTCTTGTGTACAAGAAAAGAATTGCCAAGTGTGCACCCCATAGTATGTAGTAAATAACTACATTCATTAAAGAGCATGGGACAGTAGTAGTAGGAACAGGCATAGGGGGAAAGAAAAAGGGGCCCTTGGGCTGGGGTTTTAGCTCAGTGGTTCTGGTGCCTGCCTCACAAGCACAAGGGCCCGAGTTCAATTTCCGGTACAAAAGAGGGGGTGGTCCCTTGGTAACTCAGGCTTCCAGTATTGAAAAGATCAGACGCCTCTCACTCTGGTGACACCTGTTGCACCTCACTGGTGTCAGTGTTCTGCCAGCTTGGGCGTGGTGTTCTCCTAGGCTTTGGTTATTTTATTTTGTACCTCTTTAAGACAATGCAAGCACGGATAACCATGGTGTGGTGTTTACATTTGATGGAGGGAAGGTAGTGACTCACTCAGCTCTTTGTTTCTGACTTTACTTCTAGGATTGAGCCCAGGGCCTTCAAACTGACCTACGTCACCAGCTGCTAAATCACTAAGATCCCCAGGCTGGGTTCATACTTGGTTTTTACTGCCTCAGCCTCCAGTAGTGGTGGGATTACAGGCCTATGTTATCATCCTTGGCTCAGACTACCTATTTTTTCGTGCTGAAAAAAAGTACCTATAGTATCTATTCTATAGATATCATATGGAATACAGCCTTTCATGTAATTAATTTAAATAAATATTCTGGGTACCTTAGCAGGTTACAAAAGTGCATAATAAATAGCTGTTTTCTCTTTCCACAGGACAATCCTCAATACGTGAAATTTGTTTGTCTTGGAATCTTCCCTTTTTTATTTCATTCAACTGACTTAACAGGGTTTCAAGAGCAGCATTTATAAATTTCCAGGTATGAAAACAATTTTTTTTTTAATTGTGGGACTGAAACCAGGACCTTGAACATTCTAAACACTTGGTCTACCACTGAGCTATACCTCCAACCCAGGAGTGAAAAATTTTAATTCTTATTATTGTACCTCACTTAAATATATAAGAGTAGGATTTTGCAACTGTTGATTTTATTTGTCATAAAATAGATTTATTGCTTGAAAATTCACTGTATAAAGCATTTAGCATCTAACTGAGCATGGTGGTGCATGCCTGTAGTCTCAGCTACTTAAGAGGTTGAAGTAAGAGGACCACATGAGCCCACAAGTTCAAGACCAGAGTGGGCAACATAGCAAGATTCTGTCTCAGAAACAACCAAAACTTAGCTTTCTGTCCCATTCACATATTGGTTTTGGGGTTTTTTTTGTGTTTTTTGTGTTTTTTTTTTTTTTTTTTTTTGAGACAGTTTCACTAAGTTGCTGAGTTCTTCAAGCTGAGCTTAAATTTGGGAACTTCCTGCCCCTACCTCCTAGAGTTCTGGGATTACAGGCATGCACTCCCATGTCCACCTCATTCATTTTTGGGGGGTTTTTGGGGTTTTTTGTTGTTGTTTTTGTTTTTTGAGACAGGGTCTCACTACGTAGATGAGACTGACCTGGAACTCACTATGTAGCCCAGGCTGGTCTCGAACTCACAGTGATCCTCCTGCCTCAGCCTCCCCGAGTGCTGGGATTACAGGTGTGCGCCACCACACCCGGCTCATTAATTTGTTTTTAATGACATCTTTATTTTGACTAACCTCTTAAAGAAGTGTAGCTTATCCTTCTGAATATAGGCTAAATTTTTAATTCATTGCCTCTCATGTATATACTTCTTTCATTCTACCTTAACCAAACACTCATATTATTAAGAACTGAAGATGATCGATCTATAACAGTTCTTTAAATTTGCTGACAAGTGAGGTAAGCCTAGAAAGGCAGTTACTTGCTGTCATTCCCTGTGACACTGGCCTCTCTTCCCCGTCCTGCGCACAGTCAAGGGCAGTCCTCCAGGTTCGGTTCTCATCTTAGCCAGTGTTTCTACTGAGCCCCTTCATCCCTTCCATTACTCTAATCACTATTTGCAGGTGTCTTGTACACCTCTGTCTTCAAGTTTGACTTGCCTCTCTGATCAGCATTTTCAGCGGCCTTCTTACCGCCTTAACCTGATTTCCCACACACCTCAAATGCCCTTACATCCCAAGCTTTTGCTTTTCCTCTAAACCAGTTCTTCCTACAGATTTCCCAATTTCTGTTTGTGATACCACTGAGTACCTAGACTTTAAATCTTTCTCTTTCACTAGCCTCCCAAGGCCAATCAGCCATCAGAACCCATGGGTTTATTTTCCATTCATGTTATTTACATCAGTTCCTTTCCATTCTTGCCATGATCACTGCATTCAAACCATTAACCAGATAAACAATTTCAAGAGAAAATAGAAAAGCTATTCACTTGGAAGTAGCTTGGTTCTCTCCCCCAGCTCTCTCTTTCTCTCTTGATCTTGCTCTCCTAATAAAAACATCTTTACTTTTCACATCACAAAGCTAATTTCTGAATCTTGATCAAAGACACAGTGTTCATCACTCCAGGAACTCCTAGGATAGTATTTTAATCTTGAATTCTAGGCTATATATGGTTAAATGTGTGATTAATAGATAATAATTCACTGGCTTATTTGACAGACTTTAAAAAAGAGTTTATTTCTCGGTACGATTCACCCCCCCCAATTTTAATGAAGTATGCTGAATAAAGTCTCCCTCTTATCCTTGTCTCCTTGTTTCCCTGACCTCAATTGGAAACCACTGTTCAAGGTTTTTGTTTTGTTTTGTTTTTTCCATTAAGTTTATTGGTACATTTAAGGTTAACAATACAGTTCTATTCATCATTGGGATCTTGTACCTTTACGTGATGTATCTTGGTTCTTATTTTTTCCCCATTCCCCTGCCCTCCTTTCACCTGCGTTCAAGGTTGTGTTCTATTCATCATTGGGATCTTGTACCTTTACGTGATGTATCTTGGTTCTTATTTTTTCCCCATTCCCCTGCCCTCCTTTCACCTGCTTGTTCAAGGTTTTTTATTAATCCTTCAAGAGTATTTGATAATTTATATTTTTTGTATATGTCTGTTTAGATGCTTTTCTTTTTTAATACTGAGAATTGAATCCAGGACCTTCACATTTTTTTGTTCTCAGACAGTTTCACTAATCTTCCTGCCTCAATTTCCTAGATTGTTTTGAGACATTTTATCATTTTATATTCTGACTGACCAGCAATGACTAAATGCCAGTAATTGAAACAACAGTGATTAAGGGATTTAGCTCAGTGGTTCTGCCACCTGCCTCGCAAGTGCAAGGGCCCGAGTTCAATCCTTGGTACAAAAAAAAAAAAGTGTTTTCCCATAGCATTGTCAATATCAATCAAGTTTTGTTTCTTTGTTTTGTTTTGTTTTGTTTGTAGTATTGGGGATTGAACCCAGGGTCTCACATATGCTAGGTGAGCACTCATTGAACCCAAAATTTCACCCCAGAAGTGTAGTTTATTTTTATGAGTAAAACTGAGCGCTTTAAAATTTGGTTTAGAGGCTTTTTGTTTGTTTGTTTGTTTGTTCCAGGGATTGAACTCGGGACATTGCGCTTGCAAGGCAGGTGGTGGAACTACTGAGCTAAATCCCCACCTGGCATCTTTTTTTGTAAGCTGTTTTTGTCTGTTTTCTCTGTTATTCTTTTTCTTACAATTTCCTAAAGCTTGGAGTGTACCATAAAGATTACCTTCTCAGCAGGGCATAGTGCTCCACACCTATAATTCCAGCACTCTGTAAGACTGAGGCCGGAGGATCAAAGTTTAAACCCAACCTGGCCAATTTACCGATTTAACAAGGGTGTGAATAGGGCTTCCCACATACTGTCTCAAAATTTACACTTGATTTTAGCCAAAAGGCCAAGAAGTGATTTTTGTTTGTTTGTTGTTTTCGACCTTGTGCTTGTGAGGCAGGAGGTAAGCGCGGCACCACTGAGCTAAATTCCTGGCTGTCTCAAAATTTAAAAAGGGCTGGAAATGTGGCTCAGTGTCAAGGCCCTGGGTTCAATTCCTAGTACTGCAAAAAAAAAAAGAGAGAGAGATTACCTTCTTCTCTGATACATTTTTGCATTTTGTTATTTTTACATGTAATAGTCTCTTGTCCCATGAAGTTTCATCTTTCTGTAATCAAAAAGTATTTTCACCGGGGATTTAGCTCAATGGGTCCACTGCCAGCCTTGCAAGCACAAGGACACGAGTTCAATTCCTGGTACCAAAATAAAAAAGTATTTTCTTTTGTGCTTTTTGTAATTTGAGTGAAGGTTATGCTGGGTGTGGTGGTACATGCCTGTGATCTCAGCCCACAGGAGACTGAGGCAGGGGGATCACTACAAGTTTGAGGCCAGCCTGGACTACATAATGACACCCTATTCCTCACCCCACCTCCAAAAAAGATTATAAATTTCCTACTCTGAGTTTATAAAGTCTTCCGTATTTTCTTTTAGAACTTCATACTTAACTTTTTGAGCCACATGAAACTTTTCCTGGTGTGAGGTTGAATGTGTAAATCCTGCATAATTTTTCCCCCAGACAGCTAAAAATTGTTCCAATGTATAATATTTAAATTTTATGTTTTAAAATTTTTCTTTGGTGGGGGTACTGGGGATCGAATTCGGGACCTTATGCTTGCAAGGCAGGCAGGCAGCGGCACTACTAAGCTAAATCCCTGGCCCTCTTTTCTTTTTAAATAGGGTTTTGCTACGCTGCTCAGGCTGATTTCAAACTCTTAGGCTCTAGCAGTCCTCCTACCTTGTCCTCCTGAGTAGCTAGGGTTATAGATATATACCACTGTGCCGGGTTATACAATTATAATTATTAAGGAAGTAAAATATGTATAATTGAATATTTTTAGTGTTGATTTTTATTTATTTTTCACATTGTTTAACTGGCCATTTTTGTTTATTCTCCCATAAAACTTTAGGATCAACTTGTATTGATTTTAAAATAACATGCTAGTCCAGGTGCAATAGTCCACACTTGTAATCCCAGCTGCTCAGGAAGCTGAGGCAAGAGGATCTCAAATTTGAGGCCAGTCTAGGCCACCGAGCAAGACCCTGTATCAGAATAAAAAATAGATAAATATATTAAAAGAGTTGGGGATGTAGTTTAGTGGTAGAGTGCTTATCTAGCATATGTGAGCCCCTGGGTTCAATGCCTAATACTGGAAAAAAAAAATTCCTGCTGGTATTTTATTATGATGATGTCATATTAATAAATTAGGAATAATTGGCATCTTATAATGTCTTACGTTTTGTCCTCTTATTCTGAAAGCTACATCCTAAGAAGGGCCACTGAGCCCTTCTTAGTTTTTAAAGTAGTTAAGAGTGAGATTCTGAGTCAGACTGTCTGGGTTCAAATATTGGCTTCATTATCTATTGATTCCTTCAAACAAGTTTATTCAAGTTTATTCTCTGGATATTTGCTTCTTCATTTGTGAAATGAGTGCATTGATAGTATGCACTGTATAGACTCATGGGGGGAATTAAATTAATTATATCACGTGCTTAGACTGGTATTCCATAGTAGTGCTCAATAAATACTCAAAAATTTCCCAGCTTTTCAGATTATAAATAACAATGTAATGAGCATGCTGACTGCTTTTCTATTTTTTTATTTTTTTTATTTTTATTAGTGGCCCAGGGATTTAGCTTAGTGGTGCTGTGCCTGCCTAGTAAGTGCAAGGTCCTGAGTTCAATCCCCGGTACCAAAAAAAAAAAAAAAAAAAAA